TGCCGAGTTTTGATACTTGTGAGTTAATTTGTACTAGATGGTTTAGATGGTCTTGAGCAAGGCTTTGTTTAAACATCTGGTTAGGAGTAACTATAATATGAGGAAGTCATTGTAGAGTAAAAGGTCTTGTAGTCTGTTAGTTTGCTGTAGTTATTATCTTATTAAAGAGGGTGATTAGAAATTAGATTAGAAATGTCAGTACGTAAATATTTTGAGCATGTAGCTTGAATTGTAATACAATATTGTAAGAGGATAGTAATAATACATTGTCTATGTATATTAATTGCAGTTGTTAATGTATATAAAATATAGCAAGTAAGTGATAGAGTATTAATTTCTAAGTCTGGAGGTAGCCAGTGTGTGACCTGTATATTGTTTTTTGGTAGCTTAGTTTTAAAGACTTTTTCTGTGATTGGTGTGTTTTAAATTTTGCCCAGTATCCAACTGATCTGTACTGGAGCAATTTTGTTAGTAGTAAATAAATTGGAACTCTCAGTTAGTATATATGGTATAGTAGATTCAAATAGTGCTTTATGAAGCTCCAGAAACCACTTTGGTATCTGATCTGATATGATTTTTGGATTTTGTAAAGTAGTTGATGCCAGGTGAGTAGTTGTGTATTTGTGTAGTTTGTAAGCTGTTCAATTGTATAGATGTTTATATAGTTTGTAAAAGTTTTTATGTTGTTAGGTTTTGAACAGTATTTGATTAGTTGATCAATTGTTGTACCAGGATATTTGGTAGATATAGACCATGGATTAGATAGGTTAAGGATTGTAAAGTTTAGTTGGTATATTGTGTGGATTACTTGTAAAGTAAATATGCAATCATATTTGGTAGATAGTATAAATTGTAGTGACTGTAGAATGTTGATTGGTATCATAGCAGCATTTTGTAGATGCTGTAAGTATATTTTGATAGGCAGCTTAGTGATAGGGTTGTTAATTTAGATATGTAATGCAGAGATATGATATAATCTATATGTAGTTATTATACATGTTATAAAATAACTTGTGTGATATTGCATAGTATGATATATAACATTTAAATTCAGACTATTCAAAAGTTATTAATAAAGAATTTTAATACTCATTAAACAAAAAAAACTTAAAAAATATAACATAATTATAGTACAGTAAATGCTATATGTCCAAATATTATTTTTAGGTAGTTTGGTAAAAAATTTTGATATTAAAACACATTAATATATAGTTTAAGAAATTTAGATATACTAATAATACTTACCAAATAGCTCTAGTTATTTGTGAAGCACAATTATCTTGAACTGATAGAAATACAATTATTTTGCCTCATTATTAACCTATCAATATAATTTTTTATATATAGACATTTATCTATTCAATTACTGTATTATTTAATTTAATTTAAATATCAAATACAGGAAGTGAAATAGTGGTTTCATTCTAAAATAAGTATATAAAAGTTATATTATATAGATATATTAGCTATCCTGAGTAGTTGACTATAAGCAGAATTTTGTAGCAAAGTATAATCTGCAGCATAAGTAGCAGATTATACTTTTCTGCAAAATTCTATTTATATATAACTACCTAGAATATAACTATTACATACTAGACTGCTAATTATTTGTTATTTAGTTATAAAATTTAATATTTAGCTTCTGGACCTTTAGAAGCTAAAATAATAAATTTCATATAATAAATAATTTTGTATAAATAATATTAGAATCAATTCTTATCCTATACTGTATTGTTAATAATCATCATTGGGGCACTCGACTTCACTAGTTCTATCTACTCTTGTTGGTTTGTTTTATGTATTTAGCGTATTGTTATAGTTCTATCATCTGCGATGCTGTGAACTATGAATGAGAACTAAACTGTGATAGAAATATTGGTAATTATGTAACCCATTATTGTGAAATAATTTTTTATATATTGCACACCAGATATGGAAGAAATTAGTAAATCAATAATGATAATAATAATTGTACTAGTATAATTTTTTTAATAGCTGTAAAGAATTAAGTTAATTAATTTTAATTTAGAAGAATTTACAAATAAGGTTTCAAAAATAAAATAATTACAAATAGATATCCAAAATGAAAATAATTACGATAAAGGTCTGATATTTGAAAATTATTACAGATAAGATCCCAAAATAATTATGTAGTTAAAAACCTATAATTTAAGCTCTGTTTGATGATTTGAATATGATTATTCTCACTCAGATCAATTTAACACAAATTAACAAATTTATTGATTAATAGAATTTTACAAAAGAAGTTGTGCCACACTGCGACTCTAACTTTACATGCCCTATTATTCAAATTTATACTTTACAAAACTGCTAATCACATGGTAAAAAAGAAGAGAATCGGCATGTACAAAACATACTGCGATATTAATTTTTTTTCCTATAGTTTCTTCTAAATAAATTAATATACATCACAATATTAATCATTATATGAGAATTGTGAAGCAAATTGCTAAGCAAGACTATCCGCAAGTCAGCAAGCCCTTTTTCAAGCAACTCAAAATATTCCTATTTTCTTACAATATTCTTATTTTCTCACAATATTCTTATTTTTTACAACATTCTTATTTTTCACAACATTTCTATTTTTTTACAATATTTCTATTTTTTTGCAACATTTTTATTATCTTTTTTTTTTCTTCTTCTTTTACACAAGTATTAGATGAGCGTAATGAAGCAAGTTACTAAGCTAGATTACTCGCAAGTCAGCAAGTCTCAAGCACCTCAATTCTCAATTTTATTTTTTTTCTCTCTTCTCATTAACTCATTTTTATCACTTAATATCAACAGCATCAGGATGCAGTATAAATTTTCTATAAATGGCTAGCATTATGCAAAATTATGCAGAATTATACAAATCATAAAAATCATTCTGGAGAACAAAAAAAAATTAAAAAACACAAAAAATATGAATAACGACTGCCTAAACCTATCTTGATGCACTAATAAAAAATGTTAGAGATGCAATTTTACATATAAAAATACTCTTAAATCTAATAAAAATAACATATATCTAGTGCTAATTAGATAAATATTTTTGGAAAATTTGTACTATACTCTAATACTGTTCTTAATATCAGATGAATAGTATAGAGCAAGTGGATAAGCAAGATTATCGCAAGTTAGCAAACAAACTCTGAGCATCTTAATTCTCAATCTTATTTTTTATTTTTTAATTTACTTTATTTTCTTTGTTCTTTTTTTTTTCTTTGATTAGTTTTTATTACTTGATATTAGATCAGTATTATGGAGCAAGTCACTAAACGAGGCTATTCACAAGCAAGCAGTCTTCAAGCACCTTCTCTCAATCTTTTTTTTTTGGAGAAGTGGGCGAGAACACTACAAAAGAGCCAGACCTATGTTAGACAGTAAAAGAAAAAGGTACTATCACTTTACAAGCTTTCTTATCATTATATACTGTATCTATTCCTTTCTTATTTTTTTCCTAACTTTAAATAACAACAATAATTCTATAAATATATTTATGGGCTTAGTCTAGCATATAAAGATCCTTGCAATAATAACCTTAGCATGACTATCATTATACATTAGATTAATTATAATACAGTCATTATCGCTTTTTTCGCTTTGTTAGATATATTAATTTTGCAAATCATTTTTATAAGTCCTGTAAGTCTTGTGAATTCCACAATTATATTATAGATAACTACCTTTTATTCATCATATTCTGTTAAACTCATTTAAAAATTAGTGATTATTTTTATTTTCTAATAGATTTTCTTTTTACAGACTCCTTTTATTAGCAATATATTATGAATATATGTGAATACCAGAAATTCTAAACTTTTAAACTTCTAGCAAAAATATCTCAATAACTATTCAATCAAATTTAGTAATTTTTTTTATTTTGATTCTATACATTCATAGAAATAAAATAAAAAGAAGTTTACTGAATTTGGCTTAGTGGCTATTAAGAAACTTGATTTAGAAGTTTATCACTCTTTTCAGTTTTGTTATTTGCACCTGAATCTGTGAATTTCACTTTTTATTTATCATATTCTGTAGAACTCATTTAAAAATTAGTGATTATTTTTTATTTTCTAATAGATTTCCTTTTTACAAACTCCTTTTACTAACGATATATTATAAATATTTGCGAATACAAGAACATTTTAAATTTTTTTGAACTTTTAGCAAAATATCTCAATAACAATTTAATCAAATTTAGTAAATTTTTTTTTATTTTGATTCTATATATTTGTAGAAATAAAATAAAAAAAGTTCATTAGATTTGGCTTAGTGGTTATTGAAAAACCTAAGCCAGAAGTTTTATTACTCTTTTAGTTTAATTATTTTGCTTATAAATTTGTGAATTCTACGATCATATTATAAGTTTTCATAACTACCTTTTATTCATTACATTCTGTGAAACTCATTTAACAATTAGTGATTATTTCTTTTTACTAACAAATTCCCTTTTTACAAACTCCCTTTACTAATAATATATACATGAATACTAAAAGAGATAAAGTAAATTTTCAAAATAGTATTTGTAATTGTTAGCAGTTTATAGTAAACAATGTCTATACAAAATAATTATATAAAACTAAAATTTATTTTAAAGTTTTTATTATAGCATGTCTTTGTCAGAATATAATTATAAAATCGTCACTTATTATGGTTTCTAAAAATGCTTTTTTTGCTTTAAAGATTTAAAGAATAAATCTTGTTCATGTGATTTAAAATAAAACTATTTTGTCATAATACTTTTTGTTCTAAACAAGGCCAACAAATTCATAATCGATGTAATAAAACTTCTAAAACTCATTCAGCCCAAGTTATTTGGTTAAAAGAATGAAGCAAGTTTTTTGAATATAATAGTAATTTCAATAAAAACTTTGATATAATATTTTGTTCAACATGTAGTTCAAGATATGATCAAACTAAAAATCAAAAAGTAGTTTAGAAATACCTTAAGTAAAAATAAAGAAACAAGCCAAGATAATATAATTAGCCAAGATATGGTTAGCCAAGATACAACTGACCAAGATATAATTAACCAAAATAAAATTAGCTATGATACAATCGATCAAGATACAATTAGCCAAGATATAAGTGATCAAGATATAACTGACCAAGTTATAACTGATCAAGATAGTGAAATAGAAGTAATATAACCAAAAACAACAGAAATAATGATAGCTTATTTGATCAAATTAAAAGTGAAAGTTTTTATTAATACTAAAAAAACTAATTCTTTAGCAGAAAATTAGTTGATTTTTAAAGAAGAAATTAACAATTTTTACCTGTTTTAATCGAGTTTAAATAATTATATATGAAAATATTTAGATCAATTTATTTATAATGATAATTATAAAATAACTTATAAAATTAATGGTTGAAGACAAGCTATGTGTATAAATAATTATGAGAATTTTTTAAATTTTGTTAGTGAATATAAAGAACTTGATAATTTAACCAAAACGATATATATTTATATTGCTTTAAAAAATCTGGATCAATTTAACAAAAGAAAATCAGAAGTATAATTTTTTATTTATTATTAGGTTGGATTAGTCTGTCTATTTCATCTTGGTCTCTAGTAAAACCAGTTTTAATAGTATCTATAGTTCAGTTTAGTCTGGTCTCTGGTCTCAAAAATAAACTATTCTTATATAAATAATTATTAATTTTTATCAAAATAAAATTCATATAATGTTTTTTAACTATTTAAAAGTTTACTTATAATTTTTTTTATAGTTAACTACATGCTTAATAGTTTGTTATTAACCAGTCTAAACTATTAAAAGACTAAAGATCAAAAACTATAACTAGTCAAAAAGACTAGTTTTATTAAGACCAATTTAATTCTATTTATTATATATTTTGTATCTTTAATTTTATTATATTAACATTAATAAATACTTTTTATTTAGAATACCAATAATAATAAAAAAAATGTTAAAAACTAATTATATATCTAAGAAATTAGATTTGAATGAAGATGAGTATAATCAAGCTCAAATTATTACAGAACTTTGAAATAAATATAAATGCTCACAATATGTTGCATTATATTATATTGAAAATGAATAGCATCTATAGTTAAATTCTGCTCAATTAATATTATAGGCCCATGATATAATATATAATTTATATAAATTATATATCGATATAGTAAAACCTCTATAAGTGTACCTCTATAAGTATATACCCTCTATAAGTATATATAATACCTCTCTAAATGTATGTTCAGTTTGATTCCAACTTTATAGATGATTTCTATAACTATATTTTTTTGTATTGTTCTCTAGTAAAGCTTGATTCCAAGTACTTGCAATTATAGAGGTTTTACTATATTTTGTAGAATGATATTATTGTTATTAAATATATATTTTTTATTTTTAGATGAATAACTTGTCTACAATTGATATACTCTCTTTCTATCAATATTCAGAATGGTTCATACTACAAAACCCAAAATTCATAATCAAATTACACCTTATGATCAAATTACACCTTGTGATCAAATTATACTTCATGATCAAATTACATCTCATGATCAAATTGCATTTCATAACTAGGTTACATCTTATAGTTAAACTATATTTTATCAAACTATACAACCAAAATACTACCAACTATGCTATTAGGTTTTGATCCTTACATATATCTTTATAATTCATTTTATTATCAAGTACCTCAATTTCAAATACCTCAATCTCAAATATCTCAACCCCAAAATATTACTAGATATAATATTTCTTTAAATCAATTTTTTTTGAGTTAGATCAAATTTATAATAGTAAGGCATATATATTGCTTTAAAAAAATTGTTTAAAGAACAAGAAATTATAGTAAATAGTATAAAAGAGTTAACAGATGATTAACTAATATCAGCAAAAAATATAGGCCGATATATATTGATCAATATCTATGTGGATATATATCGATAATAATCCCCTGTTAGGTTCTATCGATTGTGATAGTAATCGATATATATCCGGTTAATATTCAATCGATAATTATCGATTATGCTAATTATCGATATATAACTTTAATAAAAATTATTTAAAAAATTTATTTAAACTCATGTAAATATAATATAAGTTTACTTTTAATACATTTATTTATTGATCGATAAAATAAAATTTTACAATTATACATTCATAATATAATAAATACATCGTATAATGAATATATTCATAACACGTACCATACAACAATTATAATGACTATACTGTATTGGGTATATTAATGACAATGCTATGACCTTATCACAAAGCAGTGCTATAATGGTTATATCATGCCCTCTAATGCTAACTATATAATGGCTACAATGTGATCTCGATCCCAAATATAAGCGTCTAGAAAGAAAAAAAAGTTAAAAACTAGAAAAACGAAACTAATAAAACTAAATTAAAAAAAGAAATGATACTTATCTTTACGACTCAAGCCTCAGTCGATAATTCAGATTCCCAGTGCCAATTCAAAATGTAACCTAAAGATAAAAAAAAAGTCAATTCCAATTAAAAAAACAAAACAAAACCGAAAAAAAATTGAATATTGGAGCACTTATCTTTTCAACAGCTCAAGTTTCCAGATTCATTCCTGGCACAATTTCACTTTCCTCAACGAACCAAAAACCTACGAAAAAAAAATATTACTAAAAATACGAAAAAAACAAAATTCAAAACTGGAACACTTATCTTTAAAGTCACCAGTTCCAGTTTTCCGATCTCCATTCCTGGCGTCATTTGCTTTCCTGACGAAGACAAACCTACAAGAAATAAATAAAGAATTAGTAAAAAGAACTAGTGAAGGAAAAAAAAAAAAA